TAAAAAGTATCCGCCGTACTTTGTCACTAGATGTCTTGACCATCAACACATCTAGTGACAAAAAACCGCGGATACTTTTTAGATGACCCAATATTTCCCTAGTTTTTCGTTTGCGTACTTTTCAAGAATAGGAGTTCTGAGTGATCATGTAACTTTCAAATTGCGAAAATATGAAATTTTTTCATATGAACTCATTACCATGAAATTTGTAAGCAGAAAGGTGGAAATATAGGGAAATATTGGGTTATCTAAAAAGTATCCGCGGTACTTTGTCACTAGATATATGACCATCAACACACATCTAGTGACAAAAAATATTATATATATATAAACACAAATGCATATTATATATATAAACAATACAATACAATACAATACAATATTATATATAAACGCAAATGTTTTGGAATATATTATTACTTTAGTTTATTAGCGATTATTTGATATCGTTTAATACGTGTACAAATAAAATATTATCTAAATTCTGGTAATTGTGTGTGTAAACATAATGTATCGTAAAAATTAAATACACCGTTATTTATATGTGACATGTTTAGTAATTTTACTTTTCACAAATCCTTCATATAACCGGTCACAATAAGTTGCAACACTTTTTTTCGATGTGTTTTGGAATGCAGCTTTCTCACCAAGCGATTGGTTATAATGCAAGCATCTACAAATAAATACCAATCGCTCGATGAGTAGGCTGCATTCCGAAACCCATCGAAAAAAAGTGTTGCAACCTTTCTGTAATCGGCTGTATATGATCGCTCGGAATCTGAATAAGTGGAATTGTGAAAAGTGAAACTTTCCGCTCGAAATTATATGATTGCTGCCCTAGAACTTCTGAGCATCAATGCTGAAACTAACATGACGTCACAAAATTGTCCATAGAACTTAGGGTGCGTTCCCATAGGATGCGGAACGATCGCGATTGGCTATGGCTTCATTTCGCCGATTGCGCCGTTTTCTGTTGCACAAATTTGTTTCTTTTGCGGATTCCACCGTTGCCTGCGTGTGTGCGTGTACATGTACTTAAAAATTAACCTCGTTAAGTTGGTTTAAATGGAGAAATCTCCTACAAGCGCATATTTAATCAAGATGCTGAGGCGTGTTCGGATTCCTACCTGTTCTTCGGGTGTTCCAGGTGTTATGTTATTCTTGTTTAATATTCAGAAAATAACAAGAATGGAGTGATACCTAGGTAGCAAATCGAGTGAAAATCTGATGTAAAAATTTTTTTATGCATGAATGTGTATAAATATGTATAAACACACATAAATATTCATAAATATATATAATTATATATGAAATATGTCCATACATGTTCATATATCCTTCTTTCTTCTGTAAAATTATTTTTTAGTATAATAGAAATAATAATAGTGATGTGAAAACATAAAAAATAATTTTTAGAAATAATTTTTGCATTGTTTGTTTTAGAAAAAAAACAAGTTTGCCAAAATGTAAAAAAAAATTGTTAATACATAATTTTTTGATCTTGGTATCTATATTTATGTACTCAGATTTTGTCATTTTGCTTCATTCGTCTCGACATTACGCAATTCCATCATATCAATTAGCATAAAATTATTTTAATCTCTCAAAGTACGACGGTTTATTACAAGACAATGACGCACTCGCTATTCTGCAACATCAAATGCGCTGAGTGGTTGTTTCAATGACCATTCTCTATTCCGCAGTCCTATTCCGCACTGTGTGATTTCACCCTAAGGGTCGATAGGAGTGACGGGCCAAGTCCGATTTGAATTTGGAGACCTCACGTGATAGGACCTTGAAGCTCTGGATTCAGGGCTGCCAACTTCAGATAATATAATCTCTATCTTCTTATGTAGTTGCATATATTAGGTATAGTAAAAAGAAATCCATTATTTTTCCAATAGATGGCTTTAGTAATCTGTATCTCGTCTACGCGTGATATAGATTACTAAAGCCATCTATTAGAAAAATAATGGATTTCTTTTTACTACACCTAATACATACGAACACTAATATGATTCCTGTCGAGATCGAACGAAACAGATAAGTTTGTCTGATGTTTATCTGTCTTTTCTAAAGAGATCTCTCTCAATTATCTCTCTCAAACTTAATAAATAATTCTAGAACAATTTAAACTTTTGACATATATATAAATAGCGGTAACACATACGATATAACGAATAACAATACACAATGTCACGAGAAATTTCCATCTGCGTGAGGGAAGTGCTTAAGATTCATCATTTTGTTTGTAAAACAGGTAATGATTCAATCCTCATAAAATTGACTAGAAGTTATTAATGATAGTTTAATTATTTTTAAATTATTAGAATTTGGAAATTTTTGTTCTACATAATTTGCAACATGATAATTAGCTGTAACATTGTTGTACGATGCACTTTAACAAGATGAAAGAACACATACTTATATTATACGACGATTCAATTCAATGTCAGATATATATAAATTCTGCGTTTTACTAATATTTGTGATTTTACTGAAGATGGCCAGATTGTGGTCGAAACATCTAATGATTTTTTATGTAATGAATAATTAAATTTCACAAACAACATCCAGTGCTGTGGTTTCATGCTCCTTTTTTTATATGTTTGATTTATAAACCAGTTCGTTAGAATTATTTATTTTGAGTACACGAATAAATTCAATAATTATATTAAAATATGCTCGCCCTAATATTTTATTAATAACTTTATTTCAGAAAAAATATGCGAAAAAAGAAAAAAAACGTAGGATTAAAACGTGGAATCTCCAGTTTACTAATCTCACACCTTACGCATACAACCACATGAAATCTTACAGACTGTGTTTATAACTTCCAGTACATAACTCTCATAAAAAATCATAAATAATTAATATCTCATAAACTATTGCGTTTTGAAATCATTTTTGCTATTATACATTAATGGAAAAGATATGATATATATGATTACTAAAATTTATTAAAATTTATATGTTATCTCGAATGCCTTTATACTGATATACACCGAGTGGCCAAAATCGCTGAGAAAGTATTTTTGATTTTCGTTTCTACTAAGCGCGATAGATCGAAAGAGGGTTTTTTTCAATAGATTATCTCATGCTGTCTAATTTGTTCTCGACCATTCTCGGCACGCCGAAGGTGAGAATTGTCAATGCCATCAAGAAAGACAAGGAAACCTATTTTTCTTTGTTCAGCTCAATGTGAAAAATTTCCCTATGATTAACAATCAGCTGTAGCAGAACGTGCAGTTCTGATGACCTAGGTTATACTCATTTTTCTTCTCGAAGAAATATTATTTCTTTATGAAACCTGTTAGGATTTCTTTTTTATATTGCTGGTACTGAACCAGATTTTACAAATTGATTCGTGAAAATTTTTATTAATAAGATCATATACATCTCAACTGCATAGTACACATCAACTGCATAGTACACATCAAGTGCATATCAAAATAAATTTTTATTTTTCTCTTTTTATAAAAAAATCTGTATGAGCCTTTAGGAGCTTTTCGTGATTACGAATATCACAATTAAAACGCGATCCATCTAGTATTTTTAGCCGTAATTTCAGTATAAAAAAATTCATCTTCGACTAGAAGTCTTCATGGGTTTTTCCTGTCGATCCTTAAATCAAAATCAAAATGGGTACACGAAGTCGGGGCAATGTCCCTATATGTATGTGTGATTTCCGATCCGCAGGCATTTCTCTATGTCCCATTGAGCTTAACTTACGGATGTACAAACAATGCGAGCCAATGACAAACGCTATTCTGATAGATCTAATGAATGATCTACGAAAAGACTCTTGCGATTGATTAGAGTTAATGTGCATTCAATAAATTCTGCTCAATAGGACAACGCATTTTAACAGAATCGGCGGAATGAAGTCAATCACAAACGTTCCGCAGTTCCGCATCCTATGGGAGCGCACTCTTATAGTAATGGAAGGGGAACATGGACGTCGAGCCGTGAGCAAGACTGAGAGTATGGTCAATGCGATGTTGCAAACGCTTTACATTGCAACAACAAAGCGTTTTTTAATTGGTCAGTTTGTAGAATTCTTTCTTCTAATTGGTCCATCAAACGCTTCAAAACATTTGCAGCGAGACTTTGACTATAGCCTTAGAGACAGAAGATGTATTTCTGTCTTCTTCTATCTTCTTTTGGCACATATGCAAAAAGAAAAAAAGTTACTGAGCAGGACAGAAATATACATTTTCTGTCTTTCAATCTTGCTCATACTTTCCACTTATTGGTTGGATAGGCTATTCTTCTTCTATTACTATAGGTTTGTCGCGTCGCATGCTCCAACATGCTCCAATATGCTCCTATCATAGCTCCTATTCACTCCAATGCGCTTATTAGAGTGAATAGAAACTGTGGCTGGAGTATGTTGGAGCATGTTGGAGTATGTAACGCGAATAAACCCTATAAGTTCTATAGTCCACTCATCTATTTTTGCCTAGAAAAACTGTGACGAAATTGAGGCAGTTCAGATACGTAACTAGAGGATATAATAATCTGACACCTAACCTCATACTCTACAACACCGATTCCGTTCGCGATTGCCGAGAAGGAAGCACATGTAGATTTTCGTATTTACATGTGGATAATTTTCATATTTATAGGATATGCGAAAAATTTTGACTTATCTAATTGACTTATCTAATAAACATATTTCTCCTTTCTTTTGTTTAACATTTAATATCTACTCTTAAGATAGACGTCGCATGCAAGCCAAAAAGTGCATCGCGTCAGTATAAATTTTATGATCGAGCGGTCGAACCTGGAAAATTGATTGGACCATGCTAAGCTAAACCTAATTTTCGAAAAAAAAACCGAATTATTTCAACAGTATTGGCGCTTATTTTACGATACTAAATATTTGGTCATCTAAAAAGTATCCGCGGTACTTTGTCACTAGATATATGACCATCAACACACATCTAGTGACAAAAAACCGCGGATACTTTTTAGATGACCCAATATATATAAAATATTTTTTCCCGGGGCTTATGAGGTTAGGTGTTATACATATACGCCACTTACTGTTCAACTGCGGAGTTTCCTCAGGAAAATCACAGTTGATTTTACATGAGTGGAAATATTGGGTCATCTAAAAAGTATCCGCGGTTTTTTGTCACTAGATGTTGATGATCATATATCTAGTGACAAAGTATCGTGAATACTTTTTAGATGACTTAATACCTATTATTCTTAGGGAAATCAGACGATGCGGAATACGACTGCGGAAAAGAGAATGCGTCATAGAAGCAATCAATCAGCGTTCTCTATTTCGCAGTGTTTGTTTTCCGCACCATGTGATTTCATCCTTACATCATACTGAGCATGTCAATCTTTTCCATCATGCCCATACACACATACACGCGAGTGCAGTGGCGCTGTGTGCCTGTGTAGCTGTTTGGTGTATTTTTTGTCTATTTCTCCTCTTTCTTCCTGTCACTGTATTATTCTTTCAAATTTATTTTTCAATGGCATCTCCCGAGTCAAAATCGCCTGAACAGTCCGAGAAAAACCGAAAATATGATCGCCAGTTAAGGTAAGCTGATCAATTGAGATAAGCACCAGTTATGTATTTTTTTTTGAGGTTACGACTAACAATCAACGTTACGTTTAACCAACCTTATTTTTAACTGTATTTTTAACTTTATTTTTAACTTTATTTACTTATATTTAACTTTAATTACGTTTTTCTTAAAAGTTTGTTTTTTTTTCTTATGTAACATATAAGATATTATGACATGATTATTATCTGTTCTTTATTTCTGGCAGATTATGGGGCGACCATGGCCAAGCATCTTTAGAAGCTGCTCATGTCTGTGTTATAAATGCCACTGGACTTGGCACAGAGGTACTGAAATCGCTAGTGCTTCCAGGTATAGGGGCATTCACCATAGTTGATGGCAAAAAGATCACTGAGGAGGATATCGGGACTAAGTATATATACAATATCTTACAATGACAGGATCTTAAAATATAGCTCGATGCATATATTAAATGTATTTGGCTCAGCTTTTTTCTAGAAACTGATAGCGTTGGAAAATCTAGAGCACAAGTGGCTACTCAAATGCTCTTGGAAATGAATCCAGATGTGACCGGCGATTATATTGATGAAGAACCTGAACAAATTTTATCCAACAGCCCAGACTTTTTTAATAGCTTCACCGTAGTTGTAGCGACTGCGCTGACTGAAAAGTAAGAATAGTAATTGTTGATTATAATCTATGGTGAAACTGTATGATACATATTTTTTAAGTGTCGTTTCTAGCATTAGAATAAAATAATAATAAGTGTATTCTTGGGAATATTTTCAGAACATTGATTCTTCTGTCGAAAAGACTTTGGGAACTAAATATTCCTCTGATAGTATGTAAAAGCCTAGGCTTTGTCGCATATATGCGGATTCAAATAAAGGAGCACACTGTTGTAGAAACCCATCCAGATAATGAAACGCTAGATTTACGTCTGGACAGGCCGTTCGATAGTTTGAAAAAGCACATAGATTCCATAAATCTAGATAAAATGAGCTTTAAAGATCATTGTCATGTACCATATTTAATTATCTTGTATAAATATTTAGAAAAATGGATTTTGGAGCATGGCACTTTACCGACAACTTACAAAGAAAAACAGCAGCTCAAAGACATGATAAAGAGTGGCATGAGGCGTGATGAACACGATTCATCTAATAGTGAGGAAAATTTTGAGGAAGCTATGAATTCTGTAAATAAATGTTTAAGAGTGAGCGATATTCCCGATAGTGTTATAAATATTTTAAATGATGATCGTTGCATCAATTTGACAGCGAAGGTATCAATGAAATATTCTATATTGTTTATATATGATTCATATACCGTTTGAAAACTGATCGGTATTTTAGAGCAGCTCTTTTTGGATTATTGCAAAAGCGGTGCGTGATTTCGTTGATAATGAAGGAAAAGGACTGCTACCACTTAAGGGTAACCTGTCCGACATGACTGCAGACACTGAAAAATACATTGCACTCCAACAAATGTATAATATTAATCCTGAAATAACAATTTATATACAATGATGATGCACAAAAAAGTAGCTCAATCTTCTGTACCAATACAAATAAGAGTGTTTTATTAATAAATTTATTATCCAAAATATATAACAAATAAATGTTTAAGATGTAATTATATTACATTTAAAGAGTTATTTAATTTTATTCGCTACTTTAATTAATATAGTTGTAATAATAATAATTTAAAAAGAATATTTAAACTTTTGTTTAATTAATATTAATGTACTCTAAGATTGCAGTACCTTTTCGTGCATTACTTTTCAATCTGTTATAAACGACAGATTGAACATTATAATCCAGTCTATTGTACATTATAATCCAATCTACTTTTAGTTATCATAAACAAGCAGCAGCAGATGTGGAAGCCGTATGGAGACGCACTCTGCAATTATTACGACAATTGGGAAGATCATCAGACTCGATTTTAGAAAAAGATGTTAAACTATTTTGCAGACACGTCACTAATATTCACGTAGAAAAAGGAAGCTGTATCGCAGACGAGTACGATCCTAAAGTTTTTGATACTAATGTAATAGGTAATTGTCTTTTCAAAAAATACAAAATCATAATTCATAATTTAATTTATAATTCATAATCAAAAAACAAGTAATGTTTTTTATATGTATAATAATAAAAAGAATTTAATTTATAACTATAATTATAATAATAAAAAGAATTTAAATTATAATTATAATTATAATATAATAAGAAATAATTATAATTACAACTCTTTATATAATTTTTTCTTGTAATTAGTAATTGCTGGTATATACTGCTCTTAGATCCGATTATACCAATGTTACTTTGATTTTAAGCAAGACTTAAAACTCTCTGTCTTGTTTTTAAAGCGAAAGAGAGACAGAGATAGAGAGTTTTAAGCTTTGCTTAAAGTCAAAGTAACATTGGTGCAACCAAATCTTAACGATTCTACAATTTTTTACAGTTCAAAATTTAGAGAATCCAGAGAGTATGATGATTTATTATGTCATGCTCCGGGGAGTTGATAAATTCCAGGCAGAATATAATTCGTATCCCGGCGAATTCGATGATCAAGTGGAACCCGATATTGTAAAGCTTAAAGTACTACCTTTTTTTATATGTATGACGTAATTATCGCAATTATATTACAATTGTTCTACAATCACATCTTATTACAGACATGCCTCACAAAACTGTTGAGCGAATGGGGATGTGGTCCATTAGCCAAAGACGATTACGTGCACGAGCTTTGCCGATTCGGTGGTGCGGAATTGCATTCCGTTTCGGCATATCTAGGTGCGCTTGCAGCGCATGAAACCATCAAGCTCATCACGAACCAGTATAAACCTATTCATAATACCTTCATTCACGACGCCGTCACATCGAACTCCGGAACGTTCTTCTTCTAAAACTGTGAACTGTTTAATGTGAAAAAAAATCTATGCTATTAAAGTGATAATACAATTGTATAGCTTATATTGATTTTTTGGTTCTTTAATTATTTCGAATTAAGACGAATAATTTCTTTGCAAATATTAACGTTTTTCTTTGTTTATTATTCCCATCATTTTTTTATTATTTGCATAATTTTCCATGATTCTAAAACTAAAAGTTTGCGCATAAAGAGGAACGTCAAAAATATATATATAACGAAAAGAAACAAAAATTACATTGTATACAGGGTGTTCAAAAAGTCCCGGACCGGGTGAATAACTTGAAAAAAAAAATTTTTTTGAAAAAACGCCGAAACACGTGAAACGATTTTTCAAAAAATCTATCTTTTGAGAGGGGTTGCGACCCCCCGCCCCCAATGGGGCACGTGGGGTACGAGGGAGGTCGAAAATCTTAAATAGCAACATAGGTCAAGTGGGGACTCATTTGAAAGGTCTTTTCGAGGCGAATCCAAAACACTACACATAGAAGGCGCTGCGTTCACTTTTGGGGGGATTCGATAATCACCG